TAGAAAAGTACACAGAGGATAAAAGCAAAATATGGCGAAACTCCAGACATGTTTCGGCCGCGTCGCCAGCACGGCCAACAGAGCAAAATATGGCGAAACTCCTTTGTCCTGGTCTTTAGCGCTTCAGCCGGTACTTTCCGTGAGTATCACTCGGCAATTCCTCTGTTAGGACTCTGTCGTCTTTCCAACGTCAGAAGGTTCTCACCCATGTATCAATGTATCATTTCTGATTTCAGCGTTCATATACATTGCCCATCCGAATTTTCGTATCCACCTACTATCCTCAGTTTCAACCGTAACCCCCAATTTTTTGGACCCGTCAACATTTGAGCTCTATTCGGGGGCCAAACGACAGTCAGCCGGCAGAAGACAGGCAAACGAGCCCGACTCGTATTGTCGCATACATATCCGCAGCCCGAGTCGTCCCTACGGTAGTTCCCCTCGCCAACAGCTGAGATTGTCGGGTCTGGCCTGTGGAGCTCGCGTCATCCTTCGTTCCCCTCGTCAACACCTCAGATCCGTTACCCACTCGGTACAGTGATCTGACTATGGGCCTCGCTGCAACTATTCTCGACATGCACAAAAGACAACAATGGCCGTGTATTTTTCCATATTCTAGCGGAAGATTCACTCTCGTTTTGCACATTTTTCGAGAGTAGTGCAGCGAGGCACTATATCCTTACTTCTCAATATTGCCGAGGAGCTGTTGAACGGACTGCATCTGGATTCGAACTTGGGTCTAAACGTCAATACCTCAACAATTGATGGATGCACGAGCTGAGCCAGGTCCGTTGGTGCTGTTGAGGGGTGCTAACTTGCTGTTTCGTTCATTGAGTAAGTATCTGTGATGACCCTTCGGTCGCGTCTGCGAGAGATTGTGTGCAGAGTCTTTCTTTCGGCTTCGTCTCTCTCTCTCTCTCTCTCTCTCTCTCTCTCTCTCTCTCTCTCTCTCTCTCGGTAGGGCTCTGGAAATATAGGTAGTATACATTCATTTTCAGGGTGCGTTATGGTCGCGGGAAGACGGTAGGGCCAGGTTCCACTACGGAAAGAAGTAGCCACGAAAAGGGCCGTGACAAAAAAAAAAAAAGAAAAAGAAAAAGAAAACGCAGCAGCGACGTCGAGGACACAGAACCTGGAAATATTCAGCCGTTATCATGAATGGTAACGAATGTATAGTGCCAGTGTGTGCCACTTTCATTTATTTTATTTTATTTTTCTCGGTTAAAAAAAAAAAGAATGTATAGTGCCACCTTCACACACTTCGGGAAGAGGGAGATCTGTTTATTTCGAAAGTCAACTACAGTCCATTCATTCAATCGACATTGGGGGCAGACTTACAATGGGACTTTCTGGACGTGATTGCAGTAAGATGCATTCAGGTCTGGACGAAATTCCAGCAAGATACGCTTCAGGAAATGCTGCTGTGAGTATGCCCTGAAAGATGTAGATTAACGAAGTATGGAATGAGTTAAATCAGAATTAAATAATATTAAATTTATCATATACTATCAGTCTAAGGTGTACTCTTTTCTTATATATATGTGTTGCTTTGTTTTGCGGACCTACTGTATGGTTCCGTTATATTATTATATTATGGATATGGTAGAATTTGTTCTGGTGGTGATTTTGGCACCCTTGTCTGCCCCCCGGTTGGTTTAGTTCCGTTGTTCGGCTTACGGTTAGAGCCCCGTGGCGGTGCTTTCATGTGGGACTTGTCAGCCGGGTTTCTTCCTTTTTTTTGGCATTCTAGGTGGTTGTTTCCCGTTGTTCGGCCTGTGCGGGGGGCGGTGCTTTTTTGTGGGAATCGACATCTAGGATTGTCTTTTATGTTTTTTCTTGATTCGGTGCTGTCCCAGTAATTTAGTTTAGACCAGCGAAGCGGTGACTTGACAGTTTAAATCGGTACCAATTTTTGCAATAACAACAATAAAATCAATCGCAAAGGATTCTTGGAGCTGGCGCGCACGAAAGGTATGTTATCTGGGATTGTTTGTTTGCAGGCAAGGGTGTTTTGAATCCTGGTTGGTCTTGTCCCGTTGTTTGGCCCTGATGGTGGGGGCGGTGCTTGCATGTGGGACTTGTCATCTAGGATTGGTTTATGTTTGTTTCTCCCTGTTTTGTTGTATCTGGCTGTTCCCCTCCTCTTTTCTTTGCCTCTTTGCCTTCTGGCTGTGCGCAAGTAGGTCAATGTGACACACGGGGGTGGGGGCAGCCGCCGCTCAACCTACATCCACGTGGGCGGCCTTGTACGCAAGAGGTTCTGAACAGGGGGAGTTATAAGGAAGAAGATAAAAAATTGAATTCAATTTTCCCTGGTTTCTTTTCTTCTTTTTTTTCCTTTTTTTCCGCATTTGCGCTCTGATATTTTTGTGACAATAGATATATGTGACGATATATATATCGTCACATGAATATCACAGCGCAAAAGCAAAAAAAACAGAAACAAAACAATTTTATTTTTTTTTCGTTTTTTTGTATGTTCTTCTTTACAACTCCCCCTGTTCAGAACCTCTTTTGCGTACAAGGCCGCCCACGTGGATGTAGGTTGAGCGGCGTCTGCCCCCAGCCCCCTGTGTCATACCAACCCACTTCAACCCACTTGCACACAGCCAAAAGGCAAAGAGGCAAGGAAAAGAGGAAGCGAACAGCCAAATACAACAAAACATATATATATATATCGTCACAATATATATATATATATATATATATATATATATAGATATATATAATATATATATCGTCACAAACATATATATATATATATATATATATATATATGAAACTCCGACGAAACAGTTTGTCACATCCCCTCGTTTGTTGTCCTCTTCTCTCTCTCTGCCTACGGTTTACCGGGCAGTTCTGTTTGTGACCATATATATATATATATGAAACTCCGACGAAACAGTTTGTCACAGCCCCTCGTTTGTTGTCCTCTTCTCTCTCTCTGCCTACGGTTTTACCGGGCAGTTCTGTTTGTGACCATATATATATATATATGTACTCTTCTCCCTCTCTGCCTACGGTTTATAGTCAAACAGAGGTGCCCGGTAAACCGTAGGTAGAGATGGAGAAGAGGCCAACAAAATGCTTCGTCGGTATATAATATATATATGTCCTCAAACAGTATAAATATATATTGTCTATATATATTTATATATGACGTTTTATATACATTCTATATAAAAAGCTCTTTTATATATAGCCTCCTGATGAGTCGGTGAAACTCCGACGAAACAGTTTGTCACAGCCCCTCATTTGTTGTCCTCTTCTCCCTCTCTGCCTACGGTTTACCGGGCAGTTCTATTTGACGATATATATC